GGGCCATCTTGGGATCCTCGGGGGTGGCCTCTTGGGAGCCTTTTCAGGGCTCCCGGGGGCTTTGGGGGGCATTTTGAAGGCTTCCTGGGGTCTCTTCGGGGGCTCTTGGCGGCATGGTGAGCATCTTGGCGACCGTCTTATGGGGGAGGGCCCCCAGGCCCCGTACGAGTTCCCCCTCAGACCTCTCTTTAGCCCCTCTTGGGGCCCTCCTGAATGTCTTTTGGCCGTCTTAAGGTCCTGGAGGTGCGTTGGCGAGCTCGCACCCCTCTCTACCAGGTTTCCGGCCAGGGGAGGGGGCAGGGGGAGAGAGACAACCAAATGTTTCACATGCTTTCTTTTGGAAGGACGCCTGGGCCGCCCCCCTCGTCCGCGCTGTCATCCTCTTCATCCGCCGCCTTGTCGTCGCCATCACCCTTCACTTCCTCCCCCCTACTGGCCACATGGTCAGCATCGGCGCTTTTTTGTTTCAGAAGTACGGATGGAGGAGGAGCGTGAGGAAGAGGAGGAGACGATGAGGAGTAGTAGCAGGAGGAGGAGAAGGAGGAGGAGGAGGAGGAGGAGGAGGAGGAGGAGGTAGGATGAGGCAGAGGCTCAGCTGCCTTGGCCACTTTCCCCTTGTCGAGTTCGCTCGCTCGCTCGTGCGCCAGTTGCCCCAGCCCTCCACGCCGGGCGGCACTCCGCCGCGCAAGGGCCGCAGGGAGCCGGAAGCTCGAGCGACTCCGCTGCAGAAGCTGAAGTGGACAAAACCCTTCCGTCTGCCGGTACTTCGCCACTAGGTTCCTGTACAAGGCGTTCCTTTGCAAGCACGTCGTTTTCGGCACCGCCTGATCCCGAGGCTTTGCCTCCTCCTGGCCTCGCCGTGAGGCTGCGCTCCTTCTTCCCCCCCACTTTGTTAATTCAAGCTTCGCGCGGCCCGCTTAGCTTCGACTGGAAGAGGTGCGCTCTCGACCCGCGAATCAATAAGCCAGTCTTTGTCCCACGACGCAAGGGGGCCCGGGCTCGGAGGTCCAAACTCGACGCCAGGACCTTCCCGGGCGTGCCTCTTGACTGGGCCTTGAGGGGGGTCCAGCCGTGGCGATGAGAAGCCTCCCCGGGGCCCAACATGGGCGAGAGCCGCCAAGACTTCGATCCTCTATCCTCGATCTCCCAGCCGACTCCCTCGGTCCTCTCGATCCTGGATCCTCGAGCCGAGGGCGTCCCGTGAGCATCGATCCTCGACCCTCGAACCTCGATCCTCGATCCTCGATCTCCGAATCGAGGGCGTCCCGGAGCCTCGGCCGGGAGGCCCCGCTTGCCGGGGCGGAGGCGCGCCGCGGCTGGCCGCTGCGCGAGCGGCGCGCGCCGCGCGCCCAGACCACCCTCCGCCTCCTCCGACGGCGCCTGCGTCGTGCCCCGAGCGGTCGGCGGAGGAAGAGTCGCGGGCTCAGGGCGCCGCCGCTGCTCGCCGTCGCCGCCTCCGTCGCCATCGTGATCGCCGCCTCCGCCGCCGCCGCCGCCGCCGCCGCCGCCGCCGCCGCCGTCGTCGTCGTCGTCGTCGTCGTCGTCGTCGTCGTCGTCGTCGTCGTCGTCGTCGTCGTCGTCGTCGTCATCGGCGGCCTGCACTCGCGTGCACCCTCCGCACCGTGCCGCCCCCCCCATCGCCCGGCCGTTTACAGGTGGTGCCCTCGGGGACGGGGCCCTACCGACGAGGGGCCTCAGACGGCCCAAGTTCAACCTGGGATCTCCTCCTATCCCCAGGGCCCCATCCTTGAACCGCCGGATCGCCCTTCCCCGCCCCCTGCTCCCCGCCCCCTCCTCCCCGCCCCCGCTCGAATGGGCCCCGCGGCTCCGAGGCGGGGCGGGGGCAGGATGAGGGAAGAGGAAGAGTCTCCACTGTGTCCTGCCGCTGGTGGTGGAGGAGGAGGAGGGGGGGAGCGAAAGCCAGGGAAGAGGAGGAGGAAGAGGAAGAGGAAGGGGGGGAGCGAAAGCCAGGTACCACCAGCTGCTGCCGGTGGTCCCTGGCACTCGCCCCCCCCCCCCCCTTTCCTTTCCTCTCCCCCGCTCCACCAGTGCACTGATGGGACCAGAGGTCAGGAGCCTCTCGTGTATCTTCAGAGTGCGAGCGGGCCCCAGAAGATGCCATAGCGGTGGGGGTGTCTCCCGAGGTCGTGGAAGCTGTTCTACGACAACAGCTGCGGGGAGTACTACTACCACAATTGGAGGGTGCATTCTTCCCTCTCGACCTCGTCTTCTCCCTCACTGCTTCCCACCATCCTTTGGTGTTGGGTCTTCGTTTTGAAAAGACCACGCCCCGCGTCCCTCCATCCCGCCTCCTCTTCCTCATCCTCCTCTTGATCCTCCTCTTCCTGTTCCTCCCGCTCCTCCGTAGCCTTTTTGGCTCAAGGCAGTGATTCCCCCATAGACCAGAGTGGAGATCTCTGGTCCGAGGCGGGCAAGACAGTTCTGTTTGGCAAGCTTTCTCGGCCTCATCCGCGGGACTTGGGCCCCCGCACAGCAGCATCCCCGTTCACCAGTCTCTGTGACGCCGCTCGGGCACTCGCGCTGGCGGGTGAGCTGCGGAATTTCCAGTTCCTGCCACCTCGACTGCGGATGCCACGCCGACGTTTGGCGCAGGGTCGGACTCCACAGATCGCGATGATAATGACCATAGCCGCAGCGGTCGCAGTGCTGCTGAGAGTCTGCCAGAGTCTAGGCGCCGACGTCGCTGTCGCCGAAGACACGTAGGTGCAGTTCGTGGTGACCGCAGGTCCCATCGTGGTCAGGAAGGGGCCTCCGCCGACAGATCCGTTGCTGCCAGCGCCACGCTCTCGGCCATTGGTGACCCAGCTGCCTGCGTCGCCGACCACGACATGGCAGCTACCTTCCCTAGTCAAAAAAAAAGCATGATGGTGCTGGAGTGGTCGCTGCGCCCGCGGCTCGTGTGTCGAGGTGCTGCGAGCAGCTCATGAGATCCGCAGGCAGGAGGTCTTGAATCATCCATCCAGAGAATCGTGTCAGCCCAGTTCGCCTCGACAAAGTCCGCGCTGGAATCCATTGTTTCCAACATCGTCCAGCAATCTGTCTCATCCATGCAGACGTCGCTGCAGGCCAACCTGACTTCCACTTTGCGCACCGAGATGCAGCTGCTGCAGTCGAAGCAGTTGGAGATCGAGCGGTTAGCTGCGGTCTGCCAGGTGTCCTCCAACACCCAGCAAGATCAAGTCGAGCTGCGGGCGGCCATCGAGAAGATGGGGGACTTGCTCGCACTCGCAGAGGCGAAGGTGCCACCGTGCTCCCCTCAGCAGCTTGCAGAATGGGACCGCGCAGCTGATCCCACTATCTTCAGCATCGTCAGCTCGGGCGCGCTGCGGGTCGCTGTCGCCGACTGGTTCCACTCTGCTGGAGTACCTGCCGAGTGCATACGCATCGTGGGCCCCGACGCTCCCAACCGCCGTGTCAGCATCCAGATTTAAGGGGGCCCCGAGGCCCCCGCGAGTGCTCTGGCTCTCACGAAGGCGCTCAAGGTGGGCGGCAAGTGGCGGGACTTCTGAGTTGTTGACATGGAGCGCAACCCCAGGCCCCTTTACATCAGAGGAGACACGTCGCCCAAAGACACTTGTCGCAAGACCCAGACCAAGAAGCTGCACAGCAGTCTTGCGGAGGCTCGGCCTGGACTTTCGTGGCGCCGCCAGCGTGCTCGAGGCGCCATCGCGGCAGAGGCCGTGCCGGTCTGTGAGCTCAAGATCGGCAGCAACGTCAACGAACCCACCCAGATCGCTTGGAACCCAGAGGCAATCCAGCAGCTCGGCATCGACCACGAGCGCTGCAAGACGCAGTTCACCAACCTCTTCGCAAGCTCGGCTGGCCCACTTGACGCGAGCGGATGGCATCTTTGACGAGTGCTGGCCTCCTCGGGATTTCGGCGCCCCTCGTCGATCGTAGGCCGGGCTGAAGGTCGTCTCCTGGAATGCCCGGCCCCTGCTGCGCGCCGAGCGGCGCACTCGTCATCGCGAGCTTCCTCGCGTTATTCCTGTTCTTCGGCAGCGCGCGGCGTTCGCTCTTCAGGACGCGCGGGGGTGCCGCCCGTTGCTTCTCAAGGCTCTCAAGAACTGCAAGGTCAATTACTATGTCTTCTATGCAGCCTGTGGAGCATCCTCCGCAGGCGCCGGTGGGGCGGCCATTCTTGCTCCTGCGCCTGAAGATGAGGCGCGGGAGTCCGCTCCAGTTCACGAGCAGCCGCAATTCGATCAGGCCGTTTTGGTTCCTGTTCGAGCTCATCTCTTTCGTATCCGCAGCCCGCGTTCGGGCTACTCCCAGGCGCAAATGAACATCCACAACTTCGGCTCCTCGAGTGAGTCTTTGGAGCTCATGGCAGATGTACGGCGTGCTACCTCCCTCTGGGCACATGCAGGCCATGCGCGTCGTGCGTTCGTGGCAATCGGTGGCTTCAATATCAACGCAGCTTCTACAGCTGTTTACTCACGCCCGCTGGCTGCTCATCGAGCTCGCGCTGCTGATCGACGCCGCCTGCGTCCACCGCAGTGGACTGCGATGTTGAGCGATGGCGTGATTCAAGTCGTGAGTGACCGGCCGCCTTCTTGGCGTCAGACTCGGCCACGGCGACCACCGCCGATCGCGCCAGCCTGTCGCTGCCTGGACACTACCCCAAATTTCGTTGTGTTTTTCCCTTTTTGCAACATCAAAAACTTCTAATGTTCACTCATGTGACCTTAGTAACATTAAACACAGTGAAAAAATAAAATCGCAAAATGCAAAACCGGGATCCACGGGGGGGCTTCTGCATGCTCGGGCTGGCGGCTCAGCGATCGCGCCATCCGCTCAGCTCCGAGCCCATTGCCCGCCAGCCTCTCGCACGTCGTGAACATATGCCGTTCCCGCCCGCATCCTCCAATCCAAACCGCATGCGACCCTTCTCAATGCTATTATTCAGGAGGGAAAGAAACACACAGACACAATTAATCGTCGACTCCCAGGAATATATGGGAAAATATGGGAAGTGGGGGGGAAGACAGAAACCCAGAAAATATGTGAAAATATGGGGAATCATTTTATTTGTGTGTATTTATTTGTGTGTCCTGAGGCCCCTTTAATTATGGAGGAGCGCAACAACTGCGCGCTGCCACCAGAGCTGCTGGATTCGGAGACCAAGCGACTTATGAAAGAGGCGGCGGCCTCGGCTCGAAGCGATCCTTCTCGGCTTCCTGCCCGCGCTGGTCGACTGTCTACCGATGATGCTCAGAGGCTGGCCTTGCGCAGTGTCGCGCGGAGCGCATGGCGCCAGCATCGGCGGACAGGTCGCAAGCTCATTCTTCGAGTAGAGCTCGGACGTGAGCATCTTCAACTTGCGGGCGCGGGCGTGCTTCATCTTCTACCTGAGGAGTTCACGGCCCCTCATGGGTTGCTCAATCTCAAATGGCACGCGCAGCAGGTGACAATGGCCCCTCGGCGAACCCAACAGAATGCTACGCCTGAGTCCGCTGCTGCTCTCCATCGCCGAGAGCACGCCGCGCGCAAGCAAACTGCGCAGCGGGCACTTTTTTTCCGGAAGCGTCTGGCCCTCGAGGGTCTTCAGATTCACGGTGTCGGCCCTGCTGGACAGGTGGCGCGTGAATTGGGTGGTGCGGCTGTTGCGCTTGCTCAGCGCCGGGCTCCGATCTTTCTTGGCGTGGACGCGCTACGTATTGCAGACAGCGAGATCGACTCCTTCCTGGGCGATATGGATGGGGTTGGCTCTACCGCGACGCGATCTTCAGATACCTACAATGGAGCAATTCCGACATACGTTCCGCCGCTCCCGCCGCGCGGCCCTTGGGCCTGATGGCTTTCCCGTGGATGCATGGCTGCCTTCTACCATGGCGATAGGCAGCGTCTACCCGCTGCTCGGCTCTGGGGTATCGCTGAGTGCAGGGATCAACGACGGCCTCTTGGCTTTCCTACCGCGGGCGAGGGCAGGTCCGACCTGCTGGACTGCGTCCGCGCACCTTGTTCGTCGCGTCAACTGAGCTTGAACAGTCAAGACGCGAAGGCCGTCGCCACCAATCACCAGCTAAAGTCGGCGGCTGCCGCAAGGATTGAGAGCCCTCAGCAAGGTTTCACTTCGGGCAACAACTTTACGCGTCACATTCTGACGATGGACAACGGGGCTAGGATTGACTCCTTGGGCCCGGAATCGGACCGAGAGTCCCCTGTTTTGTCAGTTTTGATGTTGTCTCGGCTTCCCCAAGCCTCAGCCGTGGGTTTCTGTTCCGCGTCCTGCATCGCTTTAACATCCCGATTGGCTTCGAAATCGCGTTCGGGTTATGGATGATCAGATGGTCGGATGGATCCGCGTTGGAGGTCAGAGCCAGTTCTCGATCCCCATCCGCTCAGGCGCAGCACAGGGATGCCCTTTCTGCGGAACCCTGTGGGCTCCAGGACTCGACCCTCCCCTTCGCCTCCCCAGCTCGAGCTTTCTCTTCTCTCTCGGTTGGCGCCGTGGGCCACTGTGCGGGCGATGTCGGTGCAGTCCTCCTCTCATGGGGTTCGGTCGCCGTCCTCGAGCCTCCATTCCGCCGCATCCAGCGCGTTGCCACTCTTCGCCCGCGGCCTCCAACGTGCGCCATCGCGCCACTTTGGACGCCGACGGCCCCCGAGCTGGTGGCGCTGATTCGGCAGAGGCTCGAAATCTCAGCGCCATCATGGTCTCAGTTTTGCGCTCGAGATGTTGCCAAGGACCTTGGGGCGCTCATAGGTCCAGGGGCCGCGCCTGAAAGCACGTGGGACGGCCCGTGTCCGACATGCTTTGCTCGCTGCGAGGAGCTCGGTACGATCGCTAGTTCAGCTGACGCAGGTGCTCGTCTGTGCAGCTCATCGATTGTCCCCTGTTTGTCATGCCAGAGCCACTTCTATCCTCGCCCGAGGGTCATTCTGAAGCGGGAACTGTGGGGCCTACACAAGTGCTTCCACCTCCCACCCCACTCCCGCGCTCTTCCTGAGTTCCTTTCCTAGTCCACTTGGCCACCCTCTCCCTCGCCCGCCTCTCCTGCCGCCGCTGCCCTCGCGCGTGCCTTGCGCGCGCGGCAGCTGTCGCTCTCGCGGATGTTTGGCGGCCGGGGCTCTGGGCCCGTCTGCAGTCGGCTGTTGGCGCCCAGGCTGGTCTAGTGGATCACATGCCGCTCCTCGGCGTGATCCGAGGGAAATTACGTGCGCCGTGCTGGCAGATGAGACAGAGCATCGTCCAGCGCTTCGATGCGCTCGTGCAGGGGCGCCCCACCCGCGCGCCTCCACCATCCTCCGCTCAGCTCCGCGCTGCCCCCACTCGAGCCGCGGAGGCTCGGGGGGGGGGGGGGGGGGGGCGGGGGCCACAGAGCGACGCCCCAAAATTCAAGGAGTGGTTCTGCGGACGGTGACCCTCGAGGCCTATCCTGATCGGGTAGATCTCCTACTTTGTAGGCGTTTGAGGTCGTGGTTTACGATCCCCCCCCCCGTCGGCGCCTTCGTCTCAGGTGGGATCTGGCTCGA